TTAACGTGTTTTATTTAAATATAATCTTACATCATTTTGCAAAGGATTAGTTTACATTTTAGCAGGACTTTTCCAAAGACTAAAATATAGAAAAGTACTTATGGTTTTACGTTGCTCTTATATGATCTGATATATGGAATCGTACCACACTCGGCTTTTAGCAAATATTTCTTTTGATCATGTAACTGGAGTTTTTATCTTTATTAACAATATTCCTGTAATATCACGGCGGAGGACACCAGACATGGGCTTCTCACGTTGTACCCATGTGGGGATTCGACGTGATGTCACGTTTCCCTATCATATGTAGTTTACATGTTGAGACAATGCGACACAATTAACAATCAATCTTTGTTCATACACTGGAATATGTCACATATGTGTGTTTGATGAGAAACAGGCGTCGAATAAGAGAGAATTTTGTTCAATTACACATGCAGTACTGATCCCTTTGAGCTCCTGTCATACCAAATGACAGCCATTGTTACCACCAGCTGCTATCCCCTATTTCAACAATTTGAACGAATTTAGACTATTTGCAAAATTGGAGATACTTCAAGCATAGAACTTCTGGGAAATATTTTGCATCATATCCCTTCACTGTCTGTGTGTATAAATGACTAAATGACATGTGATATGTTTTCAAGGAACTGACTAATTTTGGCAAACAAATGTAAGCTGTTTCCGAACTATTTCTATTCACTATTTTATTTAAGAGCACAGCATTTTTTTATTTAAAAAACTGTGCTCACACAGACTCTCTAACACACAGATACAGTCTCTCCAACTAACACACACACACACACACACACACACACACACACACAGATACACACATTCTCTCTAACACACACAGATACACACTCGGGCAGACCGAGATACACACAGAGACACACAGAGAGATGCACACAGTCTCTCTTACACACACAGAGAGATACACACAGGGGCAGACCGAGATACACACAGAGATACACACAGTCTCTCTAACACACATACAGAGATAGACACACGGGCAGACCGAGATCCACATACAGACACACACAAAGATACACACAGTCTCTCTAACACACAAAGAGAGATAGACACACGGGCAGACCGAGATCCACGCACAGATACACACAGTCTTTCTAACACACACAGGGACAGACCGAGATACACACACAGACACATGCAGAGATACACACAGACTCTCTAACACACACACACATATACACACAGTCTCTCTAACATACAAAGAGAGATAGACACACTGGCAGACAGAGATCCACACAGAGACACACACAGATACACACAGTCTCTCTAACATTTAGAGAGAGATACACGCGGACAGACAGAGATCCACACAGAGACACACACAGATACACACAGTCTCTCTAACATTTAGAGAGAGATACACGCGGACAGACAGAGATCCACACAGAGACACACACAGATACACACAGTCTCTCTAACATTTAGAGAGAGATACACGCGGACAGACAGAGATCCACACAGAGACACACACAGATACACACAGTCTCTCTAACATTTAGAGAGAGATACACGCGGACAGACAGAGATCCACACAGACACACACAGATACTCACAGTCTCTCTAACATTTAGAGAGAGATACACGCGGACAGACAGAGATCCACACAGACACACACAGATACTCACAGTCTCTCTAACATTTAGTATATTGAAAATGTTCCAATTTTTACCTGACTGTTTAAGTGTCCTTTGCATGTAATGTTGAACTGTCTTGTTATTGCCATTACCTGTATTAGAGATGCACGTCAGTTTAACAGGAATACACATTACAGGTGTGACTTTACTTTGCATTAAAACAGCACCAAACCATCCTAATCTGTATTATAGGAATACATCAAGCAATACCCAAAGATATGTCATAATCATGTGTTTAATAATCACGACGCCCAGTCATAATAAGGTGTATCATAACAAAACGTCCTGCCATAGTGTTGTCAAGGCTTCCTGTAGTCCCCCATTTTCCACATAACGGGTGTTTGCATATTGTATTGTACCCATTGTTACAGATGACAATCCAAATGTCTTTGGATTAAACATTTTAAAACAGAACAAAAAAAACCATGTTTCATAAACAAAAACATTTGTTCCCCTGTTTGTTATGAACTGACTTTTTTCGTGACACATGTGGAGAGAATTTCCAAATTTGACGCATCAGTGTCAAAATTATGTCCGATGCAATTCACTATTTTTCCCGTTTTTGTTCAGAACAGTTGACTTGCCTTTGCATGTATTTGTGACGGGTGCCACCGGTAGGCCACGATACGCCCACATTTTCGCACACACATGGTATTATCAGTATTTGATAGTGATTCATAAACAAGTGTGTATGGTGTAGTCGGAAAGGTACAATGGTCTCTGATGAATATGGAAAGCGTTTTGTCATTCCAGCTATTATTGGCGTCACTTCCTCTCTTACTTGTGAAAGTATCTTGTCTTGGGCTGACAAGGACTGTAGGTGAGCCTAGCAGTTAAAGTGTTGATATAATCACGTCAAAAACCCAGGTTCGATTCCCCGCAATATGAGACACCAATTTTTGGTATTCCACGATGTGATGTTTCTGAAATATTTGTAAAATGGAAAAAAATCTCACATTTCATAAAATATGCATATGGTATTTTCGAACTTCCAAAATTTAAACACGACGTAATTAATGTCAATTGGATGACACTTATATTTACAGTCATATATTTACCCGAAGTTACTTGATGTGTTCTTTCTTCTACTTATCAAGTAACATCTGTTGAGTTAATGGTGAATTAAAACGCCGTTTTGAACAGAATTTCAATTATATTAATATGAAAGAATCGTTTGTTTTTCAGCTACACAAAGTCTGTCGTTGTCGGTAATCATAAATGTCTACACCCTACTGTGATCAGTGTCTCTCGCTGTGTATTTAGTACATGTACATTGGTTAACTGGCAATAAGTTAGAATGTACATGCATCTTATAACTGATAATATAATGAATAATCTAATAAGTACATCAGAACTACCCAATGTTGATTTGGAGGCATGGGTGGTCCTGTTGTCTAAGGCGCCGCAATTCTGTGTACAGAGTTGCGTCCCTTGAACACACCAGAAACCAGTGATCATGGCTTCGAATCCGGATTTCTCCCGATCATGTGTCTGAGTTTGTCAGCACCATACCCGTGCTTGTGGGTTTCGCTGAAGTGGTAAACCTATAAGACCGGCATCACTTCGGGGTTTTCTCTCACATCAAGCTGACACGCCGTGACATAACTGGAATACTGTTTAAAACGGCGTTAAACCCAACCAACTCACTCACTCACTCTCTCAATATTGGTTTGGAAGTCAATGTTGGTGTTCAGAGGTTTTCCTTCGCGTTGCGTTGTGTAATTCCATAACCTATGTATGCCTACTTGTAATTCTATAACCTATGTATGCCCACTTGTAATTCTATAACCCATGTATGCCTTCTAGTAATTCTTTAACCCATGTATGCCGGCTAGTAATTCTATAACCTATGTATGCCTGCTAGTAATTCTATAACCTTTGTATGCCTACTTATAATTCTATAACCTATGTATGCCTGCTAGTAATTCTATAACCTTTGTATGCCTTCTTATAATTCTATAACCCATGTATGCCGGCTAGTAATTCTATAACCTATGTATGCCTGCTAGTAATTCTATAACCTATGTATGCCTGCTAGTAATTCTATAACCTTTGTATGCCTACTTATAATTCTATAACCTATGTATGCCTGCTAGTAATTCTTTAACCTATGTATGCCTACTTGTAATTCTATAACCTGTGTATGCCTGCTGGTAATTCTATAACCTATGTATGCCTACTTGTAATTCTATAACCTATGTATGCCTGCTAGTAATTCTATAACCTATGTATGCCTACTTGTAATTCTTTAACCTATGTATGCCTACTTGTAATTCTATAACCTATGCATGCCTGCTGGTAATTCTATAACCTATGTATGCCTACTTGTAATTCTATAACCTGTGTATGTCTGCTGGTACTTCCATAACCTATTTATGCCTGCTAGTAATTCTATAACCTATGTATGATTAAGAATAATTATGATAAAATAGTCAGTATATATGGCACAAGATGACAAATCATGGATTGTCACACTCAACTTGCTTGCTTGGATATCCAGTCATATCAGTGACATTGCGTTTTAGTTCTAGCTGTCATCAGTGAATTGAACATGCAAACTTGCAAAGTAATTGCACATCTGCCTCAACTGTTTTTATTGCTGAAAGGGTACTTCAGAGACATATAACTACAGCCGGCTCGATACGGACAATCTGCCCCTCCCGTAATCAGCGTCAGTGTTGTCGCTATTCTAACGAAGATTTATGGAGAACTATCAACCCGTTTTTTGTCAGTTTTTCTTTTGGGTGCCCACAGTAGCTGATATCGACCATACATGTCTACTACAGAGATTTTACAACGTTTCAGTCCCGTAACAAGCCCGACATGGGTATTCTTGGGTATCGATCCCCTTGTCGTTCGTTATACTGGCGATCTACAAGCTGTGTGTTGACGAGATGACACAACCATGCAGATACTTTTGTCTGGATATGACAGCAGTGTTACGCGCCGCGAAGCCTGGTGACTTTACGAGTATACGTATTGGTTGTTGATGTAGTTGTGGTGATTTGAGTCATTGTAATAGTTGAAGTGGTTGTGGCAGCAGTAGTTAGGGTTGTTGTGGTCATGGTAGTGATAGTGGTTGCAGTAGTTGTGACAGCTGTAGCGAGAGCATTCTGTCAGTGTTTCGTCGGCTACATATTTTCAGCATATAAATTGTCTGGTTTGCAAAGGTTAGATATCATATTTGAAAATCGTTTAGACGTGATTACATTGTGTTAATGGCGACGATCATTCGAGAATCCAACGTTACAAAATGTACACGACATCAATATGAATTGTCAAACACAATCCATTCATTAAATATTTATTTCATTTTAAAAAGGGAACGCATAGTATCCGTCGAATTGTTTTTAATCTCTGTTGTCAATATTAATTACAAACAATTGAAGGTTAAACAAAATATAGTTAATTCCCTTACAGGAAATAACATTATGCAAATCATGTGAAATAAATTATTTTAAAAAGTATTCAAGTTTTTTTACTGTACATACAAAGCATAGCTCACCTGGTAAAATTATAATGAAGCAGCATCCTGACTAGAGTCGATAATATTTCAGGTGAGCTACACAAAAAGGACTATACAAAAAAGACTGAGAATGGGTGATAGTATGGACCTCGACATGGGATGTGACAGTCTGATGGCGTTCAATAAATTGTTAAGTACATGACAGACCCTGAATGGTAGAATTGGTACACAATGGTAAAATCATTGAACTTGGCACTGAAAATGTATATACAATATCTGAGACACGGACGCCCTGTACATTTGCCTTTGAGAGGGGGAGGGGGTGGCTCGAAATGCAATTTATGAACATTTGGAAGCGAATGACATTCACATGGTGAAAACAAAGCTCTGGTCCTTACAGACCAAAATCTGATAATATTGGATTCGAACCTCCAATCAACGTTTTCTAGAGTACAACTCGGACAACTTAGATTACATGTCCTAGTCGTGTATACGGTGTTGGCGTACTGATATATTTTCATATTTTCAAGTGAATCAAGTGAAATATTCTATTCACGGGCATGGGAAAAACGCTCTAAGAATTCGGGGTAATAGAAAAAACACATGAACATGTCATTTATGATGTCGAGCATGGTTATGGTGCTGACAAACCTAGAAACATAATCGGGGTGAACCCACAATCAAAGGTTTCTGGCGTATCCAAGAGCCGCATCTCTGACATGCGCACTTTTAACCAGTGGGTCACATGGGGGCATCAGATAAAATAATAGTATACTTACATAACGGGCATCAGATAAAAAAATGTATAATAGGGACAAGAGATAAAAATGATAATAGAAATGGGGCATCAGATAAAATCATGGTATACTTACATAACGGGACATGAGATAAAAAAAATGTATAATAGGGACAAGAGATAAAAATGATAATAGAAATGGGGCATCAGATAAAATCATGGTATACTTACATAACGGGACATGAGATAAAAAAATGTTTAATAGGGACAAGAGATAAAAATGATAATAGAAATGGGGCATCAGATAAAATCATAGTATACTTACATAACGGGACATGAGATAAAAAAATGTTTAATAGGGACAAGAGATAAAAATGATAATAGAAATTGGGCATCAGATAAAATCATAGTATACTTACATAACGGGACATGAGATAAAAAAATGTTTAATAGGGACAAGAGATAAAAATGATAATAGAAATGGGACATCAGATAAAATCATAGTATACTTACATAACGGGACATGAGATAAAAAATGATTAATAGGGACAAGAGATAAAAATGATAATAAAATTGGGACATCAGATAAAATCATAGTATACTTACATAACGGGACATGAGATAAAAAAATGTTTAAAAGGGACAAGAGATAAAAATGATAATAGAAATGGGACATCAGATAAAATCCTAGTATACCTACATAACGGGACATGAGATAAAAAATGTTTAATAGGGACAAGAGATAAAAATGATAATAGAAATGGGGCATCAGATAAAACAAAAGTAGACTTACATAACGGGGAATGAGATAAAATGCATAATATATCAGGGGCATCAGACAAAATAGTATACTACATACGGGGGCATGACATAAAATACAATTGCATAATGGGGGCATGATATATATCAACTAACATATGGGAGGCAGGAAACAGGTTCAATACCCGGGGCATGATATGTATTCCGCTACCCCTACTAGCACTTGAAAGTGTTATAGCACTAGAATGCCAGGCTCTCGCATCTTTTACAGTAAACACGGTACATGTTATCTGTTTATCAGGTGAGCTATGAAGAGACTAGAAAGTTATTAATTCCATACGTATTGACCCTCGTCATGAGCGTCCACCATCCGCACCAGACGTCGATATGTTGAATAACCAGGAACAGTGGTCGCGGACATCTATGGCCAATGCCAATGTCATAACACCACTGATTTCATTTCCCAGAGTCAGCAGTAGGTCTATGTACAGTATGTACAAACGGCGAACGAAGGGTTTAGTGCGCATAGTACGTTCCCAGATGTGAGCTGAAGTGACCTGTATGGTGTGGAATCACTGGTCCGGGAATCCCCGAGAATATATTACTGTTCGTGTTGGACCAGTACCCCGTGTTTCCCCCGAACAGACCCGTGGGTGGGGAGGATATGGTTGAGTGAGCCGTGGGAAACTTGGGACTTGGGTAGCCTGACATGAACATGTCCTGCTGGTAGCGGAACGCGGAGGTGTCCCCGGAATTCTGCTGGAGACACTGTGCCAAACCGGCAAAGTCAAACTTGTAGGCGTATCTCTTGCCGTGAACCTTCGTCATGATGTTCTTGTCGTAGTAGTACCGCAGTGCACGGCTCAGTTTGTCGTAGTTCATGTTGGGCTTGCTTTTCCTCTCCCCCCAGCGTCTGGCGACTTCATCCGGGTCCACGAGTTTGAACTCCCCGTTTGTCCCCTCCCACGTGATGCAGGCGGCGTTCTGGCTGTCCGACAACAACTCCAGCAGGAACTGCCACAGCTGGATCTGACCGCTGCCTGGAAAATAGAGGATAGAGAGCATGAGTATATACGTGTGGAGGAGTGGAGAGAGCATAAATATTATGTATAGAGGAGAGAGCATGAGTATATATGTATGGGCGGAGTGGAGAGAGCATGAGTATATATGTATGGGGGGGAGAGAGCATGAGAATATATGTATTGAGGGTAGAGAGAATAAGTATACATATATATAGGGGAGAGAGCATGAGTATATATGTATGGAGGGGAGAGAGCATGAGTATATATGTATTGACGGTAGAGAGCATGAATATATATGTATGGAGGGGCAAGCATGTGTATATATGTATGGAGTGGATAGAGCAAGAATATATATGTATGGAGTGGAGAGAGCATGAATATGCATATATAGAGGGGAGAGAGCATGAGTATATATGTGTGGAGGGGAGAGAGCGTGAATATATATGTATGGAGTGGAGAGTATGAGTATATATGTATGGAGTGGAGAGAGCATGAATATGCATATATAGAGGGGAGAGAGCATGGGTATATATGTATGGAGTGGATAGAGCAAGAATATATATGCATGGAGTGGAGAGAGCATGAATATGCATATATAGAGCGGAGAGAGCATGGGTATATATGTGTGGAGGGGAGAGAGCATGAATATATATGTTTGGAGGAGAGCGTGAATGAATATATATGTAAGGAGTGGAGAACATGAATATATATGTATGGAGTGGTGAGAGCATGAATATAATATATATGTATGTAGGGGAGAGTACATGTGTATATATGTATGGAGTGGAGAGAGCATGAATATATATGTATCGAGTAGAGAGAGCATGAATATTTATCTATTGTGGGGAGAGAGCATGAGTATTTATGTATGGGGGGAGAGAGAGCATGAATATATATGTATGGAGTGGAGACAGCATGAAAATAATACTAATGTATGGAGGGGAGGGAACATGTGTATATATGTATGAAGTGGAGAGAGCATGAATATGTATGTATGGAGCGGAGAGAGCATGAATATATATGTATTGAGGGCAGAGAGAATGAGTATATATGTATGGAGTGGAGAGAGAGCATGATTATATATATATGGAGTGGAGAGAGCATGAATATAATACATATGTATGTAAGGGAGAGAGCATAAGTATATATGTATGGAGGGGAGAGAGCATGAGTATATATGTATGGAGGGGAGAGAGCATGAGTATATATGTATGGAGGGGAGAGAGCATGAGTATATATGTATGGAGTGGAGAGAGCATGAATATAATATATATGTATGGATGGGAGAGAACATGTGTATATATGTATGAAGTGGAGAGAGCATGAATATATATGTATTGAGTAGAGAGAGCATGAATATATATGTATGGAGGGTAGAGAGCATGAATATATATGTATTGAGTAGAGAGAGCATGAATATATATCTATGGTGGGGAGAGAGCATGAGTATGTGTGTATGGGGGAGGGAGAGCATAAATATATATGAATGCAGTGGAGAGAGCATGAATTTAATACATATGTAGGGAGGGGAGAGAACATGTGTATATATGTAAGGAGTGGAGAACATGAATATATATATATGGAGTTGAGAGAGCATGCATATAATACATATGTGAGAGGGGAGAGAACATGTGTATATATGTATGGAGGGTAGAGAGCATGAGTATACATGTATGGTTGGGAGAGAGCATGAGTATATATGTATGGAGTGGAGAGAGCATGAATATATATGTATGGAGTGGAGAGAGCATGAATATAATACATATGTATGGAGGGGAGAGAACATGTGTATATATGTATAAAGATGAGAGAGCATGAATATATATGTATGGAGGGGAGAGAGCATGAATATATATGTATGGAGGGGAGAGAACATGTGTATATATGTATGGAGTGGAGAGAGCATGGGTATATATGTATGGAGTGGAGAGAGCATGAATATATATGTATGGAGGGGAGAGAACATGTGTATTTATGTATGGAGGGTAGAGAACATGTGTATATATGTATAAAGTGGAGAGAGCATGAATATATATGTATGGAGTGGAGAGAGCATGAATATATATGTATGGAGGGGAGAGAACTTGTGTATATATGTATGGAGTGGAGAGAGCATGGGTATATATGTATGGAGGGGAGAGAGCATGAGTATATATGTATGGAGTGGAGAGGGCATGAGTATATATGTATGGAGGGGAGAGAACATGTGTATATATGTATGGAGTGGAGAGAGCATGAATATAATACATATGTATGGAGGGGAGAGAACATGTGAATTTATGTATGGAGTGGAGAGAGCATGTGTATATATGTATGGAGTGGAGAGAGCATGAATATAATACATATGTATGGAGGGGAGAGAACATGTGAATTTATGTATGGAGTGGAGGGAACATCCGTATATATGTATGGAGTGGAGAGAGCATGAATATAATACATATGTATGGAGGGGAGAGAACATGTGAATTTATGTATGGAGTGGAGAGAGCATGTGTATATATGTATGGAGTGGAGAGAGCATGAATATAATACATATGTATGGAGGGGAGAGAACATGTGTATATATGTATGGAGTGGAGAGAGCATGAATATAATACATATGTATGGAGTGGAGAGAACATGTGTATATATGTATGGAGTGGAGAGAGCATGAATATAATACATATGTATGGAGGGGAGAGAACATGTGTATATATGTATGGAGGGGAGAGAACATGGGTTCATATGTATGGAGGGGAGAGAACATGGGTTTATATGTATAAAGTGTAGAGGGCATGAGTATATATGTATGGAGGGGAGAGAACATGTGAAAATATGTATGGAGTGGAGAGAGCATGAATATAATACATATATATGGAGGGGAGAGAACTTGTGTATATATGTATGGAGGGGAGAGAACATGGGTTTATATGTATAAAGTGTAGAGGGCATGAGTATATATGTATGGAGGGTAGAGAGCTTGAATAAATATGTATGGAAGATTGTCGCAGCAGTAGTAGCAGCAGCAGCAGCAGTAGTAGTAGTCACAAATCCACTAGTTTGTATCGTCTTCAGAGAATCAATAAGGTTTTACCATTTGTCCTGGGTGTTGTAATAACTAATTCATTTTTAAAATTTATCAACATTAAAATTTAATAAACTTTATTTTTGGACTTATAAGAACGTTTTGGTTTCTTATATTTACCTGAACTCGACAGTCTTGTAGCAATCGGCGTGAAAAGGTCGTAGGGATCTGAGGAAAGAAAGCCATAGTTAAAATCTGTTTACCCAATACTCAACAACAGAAAATACTTCCAGCTATTTCAATTACACTTCAACACTTAATGACGGCAACAGCTATTATTCTCTCGTAAACTGCCAGCCCCCGTTGTGTTGCTGGCTAGAGCTTGCGAGGTCTCCAACACCTGAATACATGATACGCTTTTAATAGATTCAGAAGTGTGCGGTTATGAATTGAATCACGTTTAAATTTAATTTAAACTCCATTCAATTTTTAATTTAAACTTTTTGCCCCCACCGCGAACTCAACGGGAATGATTTTTTAACCTCTAGTCTAAAAGCAATAAATTGTTGTAGCGACTTAAACAGTCGCAATGAGTTAGATAATAAACGCCCGTATTGAAGTCATAAAAACACTTCATAATGGGTAGGAAGTTCTGCTGATGGCGATCTCAAGCGCCAAGTCATTACTGGGTAACAGGTGGAGACAGTGTATTGAAATCACAAATCTCGTGTGAATCATGTTTTAACAGTTAGCACATGTTTATAACAAATGACAAAAAACATTGATTTGTACATCAGTACGCTTATGGTCTGTGAAATCGCATTTTCAAATCTATTGTTACCCCGTGGTTACCATGATAGCCTCAATGATGGAGTCGATATGGAAGGAAAATGAAAAGGAATGCCAGCAAAAGTGAATAACGTGTAAAGATTTTTTCCACAGCTGAACAAAAAGAGATTGAATGTTTGTTGAGGCGTGGATTTCAGCGGCCTCGGAGAAAGACTTCGCACAGGGGTCAGACAATTGCATTACAAGTGTCTAGTGTTAAGAGGGCTAACTGAATTGGGCGATACGACAATCCCACAGCGACTGTCGGGTCCGACAGATGCAGAATAGCCGTAACATGCAACTATCGTGCTGCTATTGTGGAGCTTCAGGCTGTTACTTCATATACCGATGGTACACCAAATTGGTGCAATGCAGCGTTCAACGCGACAAAAAGTCACTGGGTACACATAAAAAAGGACCACTATCATATCCCGAGGTGGGCGTGAGAAAACAGAAACAGCTCATGTTACTCTTTAGGAATCATGAACTTTTATTGTCGGGATACATTAGGTTTTTTGCACGTTTACTTGTTTTCAATGTCAAATAATATTTTTTCCCAAGTCACAAAAGGTTCATTTGTACAGACTATATGTTCTGTCTGAAAGGAAACATGTTATGTTTAGCTTTAAGAGAATAAATGTTGTTGTTTTTTAAACAAATTTTAAAGAATGACAGTATGATTAAAAGAATAAAAGGTCTGTTAAAAAGAACAAATGATCTTATTAAAGGTGAAATTGCCTGTTCAATGGGGGTCTCTTTAAAAGTACAAATAGTTTATTTAAAAGAATAAAAGGTCTGTGTGCAAAAGAATTAATGGTTAATCCGTGAACCAAAACCCCTTCATAGCTTTATGCTTCATTTAAGAATATTTCTTATCTTTGTCATTTTTTTTCGCGATAGCATGAAGAATACATATGAGGTACCACTGTGAAGTCGCCCTACTTTAAAGTTCCCGAATTCCCAATTATTCACAACAACAAATCAAATATCCATAATGAGATTTTTAATCAACTCCTGGATTAACGGAACGTCGGTGACGCCGCTCCGCTAAAACAGAATAACTGTCATGTAAAGGGCCACCTGCACGTTGGCGTGACGTCACAACAACACAGGTTGAACTTGCTTCAATGGCCCGGCTCGCGACAGTCATTTGACAATGTGAGCGGACATCGCGGGTCAGTGCAGCGCACGGTGATATTTCCCTCTCAGCAAACACGGCCATTCATGGTGAACAGCCCTTCAATCTAGGCAGGGTCACTGCGGGTCACGGGTGGCTGAACGACTAGACTCGACGCTCGGGTACTCTCGACTTGGCACGCGACAGACGCGTGTCACTGGGAGGTACCTGAAGGATGGAAGCGTTCGTTCGGTGACATGCGCTACCTGGGGTCATCGCGTTCGTGAATGGAGGAGGGGGGGGTGCGGAGGGGGAATATCAGCTGTTTTTGAGATCAGGCTGTGTAGGAAGTACTTTTCCCTTTTACGAAATGAATACCTCGTCTAATGTTCTGATTCTTGAAGGAAGGATGGGTTGTCCAAAGCTTATTTTAAAACTACGCCCAGTCTTAGAACTAAATACTGAGACTTACAATGTGAATCACATATAACTAAAAGCGGCCAAACGATTTCTTATCATAATCTCAGATCTCTGCTACAAGGAGTCTATTCCGGCTATTCCGACTAAGCACGTGTTTATGAATCACTATCCAATGCGTGAATACCAGGTGTTCACGAAAATGTGACCGTATCCTGACCCACTGGTGGCACCCGTCACAAACACATGCAAAGGCATGTCAAGTGTTCAACTGAACAAAAAACGGATGGTCTAAATGTGAAATTGCATAGACATCATGTTCATCAAATATGTGTCAAATTGGGAGATCTCCTCTACATGAATACTTATTATGGTAAGAAAGGGGTTTTTTCACGCTTGTCATGTCTCGGGCAACTATATGTGAGATTGAGACATGACATCGCTGAGGCTGGCGCGGAACTCAGACAACATGCATGGCGACCGAACTAACCACCCTTACTTCAATGTCAGCCACAGAAGGTGAAAGAACCAAATATAGATATTTTATAAGGCATTGAACAGCAGTTTGCAGTATGCCGTCAATATTTCACATTGCATTTCAAACTATACCTAAATCACATTACACATCGGAAATGCATGAGCATGTTTATCAGCTAGTTAGAAGGGCAATGGATCTAACGTAATTAGCTTTATTTTGTCTCAGTGTTTTTTTCCAGGCTGTGTCATTTCTGCGGCTTCTTGTCTGACAGTGTTAACCAAAACACAGCTCCCATCCTTCTCCGCATCTGTCTCCCCGTAATGAAAATGAGAAATCTAATCTGGGCGAAACCTTTGAAACGCCACAATGCAGCGACCAATCTATGGCGTAGCCGACATCGAAAGGTTTCTTTGATATATTTCGGAAATCCGCAGGGAGAATGACCGTTGTATCACAAGCATGGTGTCTTTAAAGTTTGCAGCTCACAAGCATAATACAGGAAGCACACGGGGCTTCCTATTGTGAGACTGCCTTCATATCCTTCCGCCACGGGTAATCGACAATGACACGATAATAGGACACACAAAGTAGGTCCTCCGTGGATGCTCGGCGGATTCAGCTATACCTGGACTCTTACACGAGAAAGAATACCTTCAAGTTCCCGACCGTTGTTTTGCCAGTTCTCACGACGAATAATTATAGGTCATTCTCCTGACGCTAACAGGAACGTTATTCCAGAACTAAAGCCTAGACTCGCGAGGAACTGTACTTTAGAAAAACTAAAGATGCAGCTATGGCTATTATTTACTATAAAGTCGTTTGTTGATGTAATAAAAGCGTCAAAGCTCTTTCCATAAGCACATATGCGAGGGTCAAACTCCAGCAGTGAATAGGTGCAGTATCGTTTATGATGATAAAAATATTGATTCAGTAACTCACTGACCAAACAGAATCTTGTTGTATGGTTTGTAAGTTTGACAATTAATTAAACGGTTTATTTAAGGGTTTACAAACTACAAGTTCATACGAAACCTATGCTACATACTGTCTGTTTCTAGTTTTATGCTGTAGTTTTGAACAGAGAAGTTCATTCATCAAGGTCACAGACCCATAGTATATATCAGTTCATTGTATAACAGTACAGATACACTATATTCTATATAGTAATTATAAGTACAGAAATATACATAAATATCAAAATAGCATATACACTTACAGTAGCCTCGCATTGAAGTCAATGAAGTATATTAGTTCTTGTTTACTCAGTGTAATGTCCTTGCATGGTACACATATTCAGTTGAACAATAGCGTTTTCGCACTTAGAGGACGTACGGCTCACAAACATTTCATGGGAAGGAGCTGATGTATTATATGGGAACTCTGTAAGAGACTAAAGAGTTCTTCTGGCACTTCTTCAAGACATACAAATATTTCCATTTAGCAAAACATTTTTTCAGGATATCCCACATGTCCAGCAAATAGGTTTGGTTGTAAACCTGAGGCATAATTGATATTTCCATTTTTCAAAAACATATTATTATTTTTAAAAACAGCCAATCTGTCCAAAGTTAACATGAATCACTACATGTAACTGTTCTTCTGGCACAGCGAATGCTGTATCACACTGTTCGTGTCCTTTCCCATAAAGTATCGCATAACATTCTCAGTTATCTTATACAATCTCAGTTATCACATACATTCTCAGTTACCATATACATTCTTAGTTATCACATACATTCTCTGTTACCACATACATTCTCAGTTATCACAAACATTCTCAGTTATCACATACATTCTCAGTTACCATATACATTCTTAGTTATCACTTACATTCTCTGTTACTACATACATTCTCAGTTATCACATACATTCTCAGTTATCACATACATTCTCTGTTATCACATACATTCTCAGTTATCACATACATTCTCTGTTATCACATACATTCTCAGTTATCACACACATTCTCAGTTACCACATACATTCTATGTTAACACATACATTCTCAGTTAACACATACATTCTCAGCTACCACATACATTCTCAGTTATCTTATACATTCTTAGTTATCTCATACATTCTCAGTTATCATATACATTCTCAGTTAACACATACATACTCTGTTACCACATACATTCTCAGTTACCACATACATTCTCTGTTACCACATACATTCTCTGTTACCACATACATTCTCAGTTATCTTATACATTCTTAGTTATCTCATACATTCTCAGTTACCACATGCATTCTCTGTTACCACATACATTCTCTGTTACTCCATAATTCTCAGTTACCATAAACATTCTTAGTTATCACATACATTCTCAGTTACCACATGCATTCTCAGCTACCACATACATTCTCAGTTATCTTATACAATCTCAGTTATCACATACATTCTCAGTTACCACATACATTCTTAGTTATCACATACATTCTCTGTTACCACATACATTCTCAGTTATCACAAACATTCTCAGTTATCACATACATTCTCTGTTACCACATACATTCTCAGTTATCTTATACATTCTTAGTTATCTCATACATTCTCAGTTACCACATGCATTCTCTGTTACCACATACATTCTCTGTTACTCCATAATTCTCAGTTACCATAAACATTCTTAGTTATCACATACATTCTCAGTTACCACATGCATTCTATGTTAACACATACATTCTTAGTTAACACATACCTTCTCAGTTATCACATACATTCTCTGTTACCACATACATTCTCTGTTAACACATACATTCTCAGTTACCACATACATTCTCAGTTATCTTATACATTCTCAGTTATCACATACATTCTCAGTTATCACATACATTCTCTGTTATCACATACATTCTCAGTTATCACATACATTCTCTGTTATCACATACATTCTCAGTTATCACATACATTCTCAGTTACCACATACATTCTCAGTTATCACAGTTATCACATACATTCTCAGTTATCATATACATTCTCAGCTACCACATGCATTCTATGTTAACACATACATTCTCAGTTAACACATACATTCTCAGCTACCACATACATTCTCAGTTATCTTATACATTCTTAGTTATCTCATACATTCTCAGTTATCATATACATTCTCAGATAACACATACATACTCTGTTACCACATACATTCTCAGTTACCACATACATTCTCTGTTACCACATACATTCTCTGTTACCACATACATTCTCAGTTATCTTATACATTCTTAGTTATCTCATACATTCTCAGTTACCACATGCATTCTCTGTTACCACATACATTCTCTGTTACTACATAATTCTCAGTTACCATAAACATTCTTAGTTATCACATACATTCTCAGTTACCACATGCATTCTATGTTAACACATACATTCTTAGTTAACACATACCTTCTCAGTTATCACATACATTTTCTGTTACCACATACATTCTCTGTTACCACATACATTCTCAGTTACTACATACATTCTCAGTTAACACATACATTCTTAGTTACCATATACATTCTTGGTTATCACATACATTCTCAGTTAATAGATACAACCTCAATTAGCACACACATTCCTTTTTATAACATACATTCTCGGTTAATACGTACATTCTCAGATAAAACATACAATCCCGGTTGCCATACATTCTCATTTAACACGTACATACCCAATTTACACAAAATCGGTCATCTCACATATACATTCCCAGATACCAAACACATTCACAGTCTTATCTAAACACCCACAATGAATATGCATTTACGGATGTCGGCTTTGTCATTTAAAATGCATCAGGTACATGTTAAAGATAAGGTCAGTGAATTGGGTACCTGGAATATATCTAACATCTAACATATACCCATTAATCAGGTAATGGTATGGACACATTGGCTACATGGTATATGCCCATGTTATTAGATACCTGGTACAGGCCCATGTTATCAAATACCTGTCATGTTCCCATGTTATTAAATACTTTGTATATGCCCATGTTATTAGATATATGCCCATGCTATTAGACATCTGGTATATGCCCTTTATTAGATACCTGGTATATGCCCATGTTATTAGATACCTGGTATATGCTCATGGTATTAGTTATCTGGTATATGCCAATGTTATTAGATACCTGGCACATGCCCATGTTATTAGATTCGTGGTATATGCCAATGCTGTTATATACCTGGATCCCTCCTGTAATTGATGATTAAGATCTGGTAATGAGCAAACTGAATGGTTATAATAGGAACACAACTTTCTGATAATACAACAGTTATTAATAGATAATGCCTTACTTTGTGGTCTCCACTGCGAATGCGCATGCGGGCTCTCGATGTTTGGCTTCATGCTTGTGATTGATGTAGGGGGGTAAGCTGAAACGGAAAAGAGCCATTAAATCTCTCTCAATCCATAATAAGTTATAAAAGAATAACGACAATGTTGTTTTCGAACTCATTTGCCTCCATTATCTTTTGGGTATTATGGTGGTGTTCCCTGCTATCCTGACAGAAGTCAAAATATGATATGAGCAATTTCAAAATCGATAATGCATTCAATATTCTAGTTGATCGGTTTCGTTTTAATTTGAAATGAATATAACGGTGTTTGTTTCTGTAAATATTATATACAAGTTTTCGAAAACACTTTGTATCATCACTATTTGATAGTGATTTATGAACACATACATATGAAAAAGTCGGAATCGAACAATAGACTCTGCTTTTAGTAGATTTGTTTATGATTATGGAATACCTTTGTCGCTTTTATTCAATGATTTCTCATATGACATTTATACCAGGGTGAGGTTATCACTTACAGTTAACATGTCTTCATCTTTTAAGATTCCAAATGGTTCCATGTTACTCAAAAACAAGTTTAAAAAAGAGGTTCGACAGAAATTCTGCCTCCGTTTGCTTGTGAACCCAACAGTACTTCGTTAACACACGTGATTGTAACGAGCGTCTTCATATATCAACCCATTTTAATGAACAGTTATTTCAAGCTTGCAAGTATTTGTTTAATATTATACTGATACAGAGGACAGCTATTGCAGACGCTTGGTAACCACACTCATAGATCATCGTGAATATTAACATAAGCGTGTCCTCAATGCAATTAATCCGTGTTACCCGATCTTACGTTTTAGAAAAAAAATACAATTTATTAGGTCTGTTCTTGAGGAAATTGAGAAGATTGTTTCATCGAAATAGGGGCCAAGGAAATGACTTACCGGACATTTAATTACACCAGTGTGAGTTTATCATTCCAAAACCACAAACCAGTCCGGTTTGTAGTGTTAGGTTACAAACGTTTGACAAACTAATACCTTTTGAAATCTCGATTAACGAAAACAGGAGTAATCACCCGTTACTAGGCCGTCATTTGATCTCCGATGACGACATGCCAAAAAGCGTTTCGAGTCATATGAGCCTGCGCAGTGAAGGTTTCCGTCTAATGGCTTTGCTCGTCTCATGACAGCTCCACGTAAAAGACTAATTTTAAAGGACAACAAAAATGTGTCTAAGAATTAACCACAGTACGCCCCCGTAACTCCCTTTTCTCTTCCCCTTTGTCCCGTCGGTGTTCTCTGCGGGGTTACAAAGCTGAACAAACTGATGGCGGATCTCGTTCCTAACCCATGTCATTTTACCGATCATATGGTGAGCGTCGTTTGACAATCGGAGTTTTTCAGACTGGGATCTCTGCTTCATTAAACTGTCACCAACCTTTACGAGCGTAATTATAGGTACGTGCTTTGTTGGTCAGACAGCAGACATAATTATGTCCAAAACGGTATGGCACGTGGATAACGGTATTAAATAGTCTACTGACACGATACCTTTCGCGTATGTGTCAAGTCTTGATAGTTAAAAATTGTTTACTAAAGGATGAAATGACATACAATTTTAATGTCATATTTTTATGCTGTTTCATGAGGCCTGGATGCGGAATGATCGGAACTGCAGGTAAAAAATAAATAATACAAATCTATGTACTGAGAATGGTTTAGTTGGGATGTCAAGCAGTCCTGCAAGTCTGTCATGACATCGTATTGAAGTATATAGTTTATATCGCTTCATTCAAGTTGATGCCATATTTTATACAAATAGTTCATATTGATGATATTAATCTTGGTGGGTTCGACTTGGCAGTGTTTCAAGTGAAGTCCCAATCGCTGTTGGAGCTTCGTGTAGACGGTAGTAGTAATAATAATAATAATAATAATAATAATAATAATCACCTTCATTTTAATATTAATGATGATAAAAAAAAATCTATTTACCTTGAGCAGCATGGTTGGGTTGAGGCGTCCAAGGCGACTTGGAAAATGGGGGCTCTGAAAACACAAAACAAAGTTGTCAGTCTTATTGTCCCGCAACGTAAGAAATATTGGCTTCGGAGAAATTTCCATCAAAGACTTAAACGTCAGTCGTTGTGTGGGACGACGGAATGCGGACTAGGTTTGTACCTGCGAAGACGAAACTTGGAATACCCGGAAATGAGCACGGCCGGAAGTAGTCCTGGCGTTTTAGTGGATGCATGGGGGACTTAATCTCCCAAGATTCCCGCCAAAGACTGAAAATATCTTGTTCCACCGCCTTCTCCAGCGTGACGGTTGAAGGTTACACTACTCTTGTAAAAGACACCAATTCAAGCGTCCCCTTTTCCAAACTAGAGTTTGCTCTGGAAATCACACAGCTCTGCTGGAGAGTTCCGTATCCACTACCGCAATGGGGAAATTGTGCCTCATCACTCGTTACAATCACACAACTCGCACGGCGCCCCATTTCCCCCATAGCTTTATATACCAGTACTAATACAATAACTGTAATTTGCTACAACTAACCAATCAATTGACTCTATGCTGGCTCTATCAACCAATGTGCCAGCTAATCTTTCTCGGCGGGGAATCAATAAGGTGCTAAGTGGTGTAATGTGACCAAGCGACCACGTGCTCCTCATGTTTGCACGGAACCCGCCATCAGTAGGGCTTTTTGCGTCTCCCATACCGGAGAGTTCAGAGGGCGGTCCCATTGGCTCCTTCCTCTCATAGACACTTCTCGTTCACTTCTCGCCTCGTTGCACACGGCGATATTCGGAAGAGAGCTCGCTCAACGTCCGTTTTAAAATAATGAAATACTTTCAGTTTGCCAAACATTAGACGTTTCATTTCCATCAGAAAATAACGGCCGAAGATAAACTGACGCGGAGACGATGGAAAAAACGCCAAGTTTCTTTGACTTACAAGTCGATTCCGGTCGATGAATAAGCTTTCACATAGCGTTTTGTCTGATGGAATATTTCATAATTTTATCTCACTTTATAGAAACACTCACTTTTATAATTTTGATTACATTTTCCGTTTATTCTTTTCAAGCAACATAATATTGTTTGCGACAGGTTGGTTTTCAAACATTGCGGATAACGCGTTTTATCGCCCGTGTTTGTCAGGCTGTAATTGAGGTCCCCCAGTTACCCGGTACTGGTCAACATGACAGAGCTGGAGACGGGATGTCCACAGTCGGAGTTGCTACTGTGGTTAATAATTATTCACTCTAGTTTATCGACAATCATTGTAAGCTATCCTCGAAGCCAACACTGATACACATCTGTGTCGCTGTTATCCTCCCACTGTGATTGCGCGATGATGTGGAGAAGTTTCAATATTTACTGTATTTCCTGGTATTTGAACGCGCAAGAAATGCTTTTAACCGGGATGTTTACACACCTTTTGAAACTCAGGAAAATGAAATTGCCGGTTCGTTTCCTAAACGTTCAGTGTCGTAATTACGAAAAGCGTTTACTAAGCGGTGCTGTTTGATAAATGAGCGAGAGTGTTGTTCAAACTATCATTTTACGCCTCAGCTCTTCAACAGCAGTGATTGTGTCAAAATTTATTGCCCAGGCAGTCTGGCATACGATGCCTCAATCGACACCATAAATGCGTTTGTGATCAGATTTGCCTCGGCCGAAAGGCCGTAATGACATTTTTAAATGTGTTAGCTTTGTGAAATTTGACATTTTCATTTTTTGTACCTGGATTATTTTAGCAGTAAATTGTGCAGTTACCATTTCCGAGTGAGTTATGACATCATTCTGATGCAAATGTTGACTTTCCGGGTATGATATTGAGACGACCGCTCCCTGGGATGCCGGTAGATCGAAGAACGGTAATGGCATAACGCAGTAGACTGGCACAATGAGACAGTTCCGTGCTATGCTGCCACTTAGAAAATATGTATACTGTATACATTATCGTTATAGGTTAGAGGAATATTTATCCTATTATTTTGATCACTAATCGAACATACACTTAAACTAACTTTAACTTTGTAAAACTACTAGTGCTGAATTTTCATTTACGTAAGTTACATTATATTCACAAGACAGTTGATGTATGTAGGATGGTTTAGTCAGCTAATTAGAAGTGTGTGAACATGCATTTCGTGATGAGGATTCGAAAACGAGCACTTTGTTAGGAATGTCACTTAAAGTTCGCCCATATACGTTCATTCAAATGTTTTAACTAGTTCCACACAATATGAAAACGGGACCCTCTTTACTGTAATTATAAATTAATAAAACTGAAGACACAGTTGATTTATCAGTAAACCTTTTCTCAAATACCTTATATCATCACTAAATGATAGCGATTAACTTTGTATTCATTTGAATATTGTATTATTTTTTTAACGTACAACTACTATTGATTGAGAACACCTGGTGCCATCACTATTTAATAGTGATTCATAAACACATCCTTATGATATAGTGAGAATCGTACAACTGAATCGTACAACGGATGATTACCGAAATGGGTTTTTTCGCTATTTCGTCTCATCATGGAATTCTGTAGTGTTCATCACTTACTTGATACTGGTACTAGCACCTTGATGGAACGAAATCATATCGTTCATGAAAGTAACAAACACTTATAACTTTCTGGGTAACAATCTATATTTACAATTGTTCTTTGATTCTGTTTTAATAACATTAACTCAAGGTAATTATCATAAATAAGAAAATGAAAATTACCAGACACATTTGCTTACAATTCAGGGTATTGTCACCGAAAGATAACTTATTCATGGGGCTCCGTGTTCGAGAATGAATCCAGTTTTGGAGAGAGGTAATTTAAGAAAATGAGAAGTACCATTTGCTGAGAGTAAAAATAATGATATATTTCGGGATAGTCATCGTTTTCTGTGCACTCGTGGCATCCACGGAAACACTAACCCAACCCAAACCCCAAACAAACCGCCTAATCTATATTAATCTTAATGACTGGTACATTCATTAATCAAACAAATACGACTGCAAAAAAGAATACATGTTAGATCGACCAGATTGTTATCGAAAACCTAGAAACCATGAGATAAGGAACGTCCTGTCGATCTGTTCCATTACAAGACCAGCACCGAGGTCTGAGACTGGCACCATCAAGGCAGTGGTGCCAGTAAACGGTTTCGACTACACGGTTAGGCGTCGCTGTTCGACCACCAGCGATCCCAAACCTCGCCAGTGTTTTCGTGAGATCCAGCTGCACAATGGTGCTATTCAACCACTTGCCGTCATGCGATCATTTCACCAACAGTAAACATCCACACCAATTACCCAATCCCACAGAAGCAATACCTGCTGTTTAAGCAACTTCCGAAACAGTAAGTAACCGGTAGTTTACAACGGCTATGTGTGCAAGGGCGGCTCACATCAAGAGATGTTAACTACCTATGATTAAGGCTGGCCGAGGCTTAAGTAAGTGATTATACCTCAAGTGCTAACACCATCGTAAGACCACCCGCTGTTACGGAACATGCAACAATGAGAAGCCCGATGCCGTAGCGTCCACGCTGGCCACAAAGTAGGGGGTAATGAAGACACAATGAGGGGACATAGCTATTAAAGGTGATGCTTGTAACGACTTTACGTTAGCAGGATCCGGGTTCATTCAGTCGTCACACCTGCTTCGATGTTTACTGTTTAGCAATGCGCAGTGGCCATATAGATGCCATAACGTTAAAATTCACTTACTGAAAAAAACTAGTTTAGACCGTTTAGAGTTAGTCTTTTCTTGTAAATATTTTTTCTTTAATAAAATATCATAAATAGGTTTTTTTCGTATGTTATTTAAGCCACTGAAACACGTAGGCATTGATTGTAAAATAAATTTTATGCTGAAATGCACACAATCGTTCTGATGTATTTTTTCCTGTTTACCCAATACGCAGTGTAAAAATAGAGAGGGCGTGGGCGTATAGTTTAACATTAACGGATGTGAATACATTGTAAGGATGATACAATTCTATATTTGTACATATTGACGTTATTATATTTTTTTTTATAAAAATGTATATATGCTTTCAGAAATGAACCGAAATTTATTCATACACACAAAATCTGTGTCTGAAATTCAGTATATATGTTTGGTGCCTTATCCAGACTTTAACCTACCAAATTCACGACCTTTAATATATGACCAGATTTCATCACTGTCTTTCCATTCAAATAATTGTCATCACTAGTTTGCCAATTCCGCCCAATGGAATCTGTTTCGGCAGATAATCGAGACTGCTCTCTGGCGTTGAAGTTAGCCCTCTCCCACACATTGTATGTTAAAACGTGGTATTTTAAACAGACGGGTGCTACGTACATGTATAGGTATAATCCCTTTAATGTGACTCTCGTTTCCTGAATAAAAGTATTGTTTAAAACATCAGATTCAGTATAAATGAACTTTAAACTGTCCAAAGAATGACGATAAGTGTTTGGTGCCTGGGGTGGATCTATGGTTTCCACATGTTTATTGATATATGAGGAACAGCTGCATATTCTGAGTTTTATGCTTTTAACTAATAACCAGACATGTACAGGTGAAACGTTTATTTTACATGGTGTCGAAGTCTGTCAAAATATTTCATTGAGATGCAAGCGGGTTCAATATGAATTAATTAGTGAGTGGGTAACATGGGGCTTATCCCGCTCTCAGCAATATTCCAGTTGTATGACCTTTGGAGAACACCTAATATAGGTTTCGCACATTCGACGCGACATCCAAATGCTTCAACCATTAGACTACCCAAATGACCCGTGTATAATGTCATATGTATATATACTTACCAACTCATGCACTTTGTACATATGAAAGTAATGTCTTTTAATGTACCCCCTCATAACTGAATCCTGAAGACATTTCCAAATTTGACACATCAATGATGTCCGATTCAATTTTTGACATGTTTTCCATTTGGCCTTGGCATGTGTTTGTGACGAATCACACCTTTTTAGCGAACACTCGGTACAAAGAGGCTTTGGATGATCCTGGCACAAGCAGGTTGG